GGCCGTATGAGGACGCTCAAAGTCGCTCAGTCGCGAGCTGTGGAGGGGGCTATGCTCGGAGTATCTCTGCGAAACTTAGAAATAAGGATATCCGCACTAGAACCAGAGTGACCGACATAGCCCAACGGATTAGTAAGCTGAAGTGGCAATGGGCCGACCATACAACTTGGAGCTTGCTTGTTCTCGAGTGGCAGCCTCGTACCGGTAGGCGAAGTGTAGGGCGACCCCCCACTAGATGGAGTGACGACCTGGTAGGACATGCAGGAAGTCGATGGATGCAGGTGGCTCAGGACCGTGCTTTGTGGCATAACTTGGGGGAGGCTTATGTTCAGCAGTGGACTTGTGAAGGGCTGTAATGATGATGATGATAATGTGTTCAGTTTCCTGTATGCTGTCAAATCTGTTGACAATTGTAGCCTCATCTCCCGTCTAATATCCGTGATATTAAGAGTGTGATCGGAGAGTTATTTTGTTCTTCTGCGGCTGGTCTTGCAGACCTTAGCTCCGACCGCATGGACAGTTTCACATTCATATCGTCCACCGCATTGCAATCTTCTAGGCACTGAACGTGGTTACGTAACTCGAGCTGAAAGGTTTCGGGATTCTGGATAAGAGCACGAGGGGGGACGGAGCATTGACTTTATTAGACGAGACCTCTCCAACTTAACGTTTAGGTTCAGTGTGTCTCTAACCATTCAGTGATCGCTGCCAGTTTTCACCCTTGCTGACTGAGACATCACTGAACAGTTGGCGTCTGGTCGTCATAATGAAGTCAATCTCATTTTTTGTCGAACCGTCGCCCCCGCTCACCGTTATTTCTTGTGCACAGTTTTGCGTTGAAGTCTCCCATTAATCCGTGGAGGAATGCTTGGCTCTGAAATATCCTCATAAATTTCCTCCACCTCATCATCGGGATGTTCCGACGTTGGTGCGTAAACCTGTATAACCTTTAGTGAATACCGTTTGGTGATTCTGAGTATAAGGTACGCAACTCTCGCCGATACACTCCCAATCCTAAAAACGTTGTTAACGAGAGACTTGTGGATGATAAATTCGACACCTCCTTGGGACAGATGGTCGCCCTCCCGGTGATAAAACAAGTTGCCGGATTCGAGAATCACCGTGTCCTCCCTCTCTTTTCGGACCTCGGATAATCCTATAATATTCCAGCGCAACTTTTCTATCTTTTCTTCCAGCTCCAGGATCTTCTCGTCATTCCTCAGGGTGCGTGCGTTATATCTTGCCGGGTCGAGTCGTCGTAGGTGGCAACCCAACCTCCACCGGAGATTCTTAGCATCCCCTGCCCCACCGTTACCATGGTCGCCACCATAGCCAGGAATGGCGGGGCCGCCGGGGACTGCGAGCCGTCTATTTGTGTAATTGCTAATGGGAATGCCATAGTTGCCACGCTTGGCGAGCGGGTTGGCAACCACAGTTTTTTGTTGTACAGTTGCTGTTATCAGAAAGATGCTGCTGCTTATCTCCTGCCAGTTTCCCTCTGTCACCTTTTGACACACGGGAAGATATGGAGTAGTGAATATTCTTAACCGCCACCACACGGTAACACTGAGTAGTAAACTGGTTAGACCGAAATTAGTGTGCTTTTGTTAGTGTCTTAGATTTCTTGCATTTTCGTGCACAGTTGTCTGAGTCCGACATAGCTCTGTTAAGTGAAGACTGTTTCCACACTACAAGTACCAGGTAAACAGAATCCGTGAGCAGTGCGTAACGGGCCGCGAACGATGCGCAGACGGCTGTGACTGTATTGTCACAGCGCGCTACAAGTACCAGGATAACAGAATGCGTGAGCAGCGCGTAACCAGCCGCGAACAAAGCGCAGGCGGCTAGCGAGACGTTGCTTGAGTTGCAGTCACAGAGAGTGGAGCCAGAGGGGCAGGGCTTAGATCGCAGCGTTGCACTTCACTGTGAGTATAATTGAACTGCTCCTTGTAACTTATATACTCCTATTTTGTAAGACAAATTAATTCAATATTTTTTTTTGTAAAGAGCTGGCACAGATTAATAGGTACGTCCACGCCATACGGATCATATTTCTCTACAAGATGCAGGAGTGTACAAGCTTGATTGTGAATGTGGTCTCTCATACATAGGGCAAACAAAAGGATCAATTAAAACTGTTGTAAAAGAACATATAGCTGACGTGAAACATTAACGTTCCGGTTCTGAAGTTTGTGGTCATTTCCTAGGCGGCTCCACAATTACATCAGATTTGATAGAACACAAATCCTCGCGAAAGAACATCGATTCCTACCAAGAATGATACGTGAGGCTATTGAAATTAAAAGAACATACTAATTTCAATAGAAAAAGAGTTTGGGTACTACTACCTGCTTGGAACCCCGTAATTAATAAAATTAAAACTAAGCCCAAGAATACAACTACGTGATTTCAAGAAACAGTAAGTTTATTCTGCGTAGATCGGACCATAAACAATAATTAAAACTCTGAAGGTACTTTGGGTTAACACTGACATCGGAATGTCAGTCATCTCAGTCCCCCGTAACCATGGGTGCTGGAAAGCACGGGAATTAAAAATAATATAAATTAAACGCGATAAAATCCGTAAAAGTAGTTTTAATTACAGGTGAATAGTTTTATTCAAAGTTGTATGATTGAAGAATGACTAAACTACTCGTGGAAGAAGTTTCAAAGAGATTATTCGGTCAGCTGATCAGACTCATAATACAGCGAGGCAACTAGGCATTCTTTTGGGCATGCGACCAACAGACGGTGGCGATTGAGGTTTAGGTACTTTTCACTTAAGTTAAGATTTACATACGGTATAATTTAGTAAAATATTTTTTCTTTTATTTTGTTTAATATTGTAATAAAAATAATTTATATCTTGACGACTTCATTTGTTTATAAGCAGTGTGTCAAGAAGGTTGATATTAAAGTCTCCACGTACGGGGACAAATTTATTCTGTTTTTTAAGCTTAAAACTTTTTCCATAATTTTTCAAAACAATAATACATAGAATGTGGGGGTGGGTCTGTATCACTGACAACAATGAAGCGCTCGATCTCAACACAAGCCTTTTCTACTTTTCGCTCAACATAGAGACTCACAATATCCTAATGTTCTTTACTTATTAATGATTTATTAGCTAATAAAAAGCCACCGCATAAGTTTTTTTCTCTGTTAAAGCAACTGACCACCTGGTGTATACTGAAATTAATCATATTTTCGTTATAATTCTTTAACCAATATTCAGTTATGCAAAGAATATGTATGTTTTTACTATTTAAAAACCATTCAATGTCTAATTCTTTGCCCAAAATGCTTTGTATGTGTTGATGCACCAAATGTACACAATGTTTATAATTGTATTTATGTGAAATAATACAGTTAAATATTTGTGTGCCGCATTCTAGATAATTTAAATTATTTTTATATTATTGCTTGAGATCACTTTATAATTTAAATTACTTGGACGTGCTTCCAAATTCAATTTTAAGTCATTATACTGCTAAATAGAAGCTCTCCTTGAGGCTGAGTAGATATAAATAATAAGGTAGCACATTAGCTGTCAGTCTTATACAGTATTTGGATAGGTTGTAATTATCTCTGGTCAAAAGTTTACACTATATATACAAAAATTTACTACATACAACGCATCTGTTTCTTTGAAACGGCTTCTGAACTTAGTACGTGAAAATTATTTTATTTGTTTTAGTTCTATGAATTTGGCTTTTACTATTTATTAGAGGATAATTTTTATTATAAAAATATCAAAAAATTCAATAGTAATCGATTAGAGAAAATGGCGTAATATTTCAAATTCGGAATCAGCAACATATCAGGTACCGCAGTGCTATTATATTGACACAGATGTTATTATATGTACAAAACGCATTTTTTTAACTTGATAAAATAGTAATTCAAATCCTATACCTTTAAACGAGCAATTGTTGTATATATAAAATATATATATATATAATCGGAATCTCGGAAACGGCTCCAACGATTTGCATAAAATTTAGTGTCCAGGGAGTTTCAGGGGCAATAAATCGATCTAGCTAGGATTAATTATTAGAAGTTGTCCTTTTGTCCGTGTTTTCAGGCAATAAAAAACTGCTACAATATAAGAAGGTAAATATTGACAGATCACTAACGATCGTAATAACTCAGGTGGGATGACGGTCGGGCGTGATATCGAAGTTCCGTGGTTCGCGTCCTGTCTCTGGTCCGGCTTTTTTTCCTTTTTTTTCAAGTTCCCCTCTTGTGTGAGAAAAGCTATTATTTCTTTCTAATCTATTATTTATTTTAATAAAACTAATTGCACTCATGATTTTTTATTCAAATAATCAGTTCAGTTTTTTCTATTCTGTCAATAAGATAAAAAAATATTATTTATATTTCATCAGTATGTAATTTATAAATGTAATTTCAAAAAAAAAACCGAGCAAAGCTCGGTCTTCCGGGTACTGTTATTTTAATCGTCGTGTTGGCTCAGAGGCTAGGTGCTCGCCGTAATTTTTACAGTAAGCAAGCAACCCGGGTTCAATCATCGCCAGCATCATTGAAATTAATAATTGAGATTTTATGTGCTAGTATACCACTTATTCAAAGTTTAACTGCCTCGTTCGTCTGGTGTAGTTAAACGCGATTGATGATCATGAGATCCCGTGTTGCTTATTGGGTAATTGGATTTTTCTCTCAATAAATTCTCAGTAGCAACCTGGAATCAGAATGTCAGCGGTATTTCGTCCCTGTGCTTTAGAAATCACGTATAAACGTCTGATCGCCGTTTATTTGTGTTGAATTATCGTCCCATCGAACTATGAGAGTGAATAAATGAAAAGTGCATCTGTACTTGCGTACGCACTCGTGATCCATAATCAACTTTCCAAAAAAAAAAAAAAAAAAAAAGTTAATTCCATTCCAATCCATGTTATTCTATTTTATTCTATACTATTCTTTTCTATTCCATTCTGTAGGCTGTAACTTTATTATATGTATTTTTATCATTATAGAAAATGTTTAGCTACTTGGTACTGGTCTATTTAGTCGTTCATCTACACAACGCTCAGGGGAATGCAGTCAACAATGAAGTGATTAATGACAAAGAAATGTCATTAGCATTTGTTGTAAGTATTCAAAATTTTTACTATATTTTATTTTGTTACTGGCTGAAATTTTGAATTCTATTTTTAATTCTATACTTTATTCCATTCAACCCCACTCGCGTTGCTTATCTTAAAGAACGGTTTGAGATTCTTGATGACACAAACTGTTTCTCCCTGCGCTCTGATAAAAACCTCGCCCTAAATATTTCGACCCATAACGGTTCCTTTTATTCTAAATCCTTTTCTATTACAGCTGTACTTCCTACTGCTGCACATAAGAAGTGCGCAGTCTATTGAACAATTAAAAAAACTTGTCAAAACGCAATTCTTTCCTCCTTAAATAGTCATTCCTCTAAAAAATTACTATCTACTTATTTTTCCTTACGTCGAGGTTTTGATTACATTTACTAGTTTAATTCTTTCTTTTATACGTTTCTATTTAAAATGTATTTATTAATTATATTATGTATGTATTTATCGATTATATAATTATATTTATTTCGTGTGTATTTTCCAATAACCTACGTACACCTGTTGTGTTTGCAATAATACACGTTCGTTAGCGAGACAACAACTGATTTATTCCTTTGCATAACTACCTACGTATACAGTATTACAAATACCTACAACATCTCCCCTTATAAATAAAGATACAATATCATCCATCCCCCTTATATAAAAAATAACTAAAACAAACGAAATTTCTTATAACTCTAACTTAAGAGGATACCTTGGAAATAAATCGAAGTTTTGGGGGCGTGGCTTATTCCTTTGTCGGTGAAGCTAACGGACGACTGGGGGAGTGTCAAAATGAAAGTGATGCAATGACTTCATAGTACGCAAATAATGAGATCGTCATGCCAAGCAAGCGCTCGGAAAAAACTAAGTAAGCGCCAAAGCACATTTTAATTTATTTTAACAAAATTTCGTTATGGATAAAAAACTGGTTTATGAGAACTTAGATATGATTATTTACTATGCCTTAAAAATAATTCCATGAACTTATTCGTAAGAATATTGTGGTGTCATGGAAAAATATAAATAATTAGAGCATACTTTGCAATTTTTTTTCTATTGAGAAAATTACATGCTATCGTGTTTTCCTTTTATGCAATCCAAGGCCATATAGTCAAAAATCACATAAACTTTCCAAACTTTTGCTTTGTTATCTATAAAACTTAAAAAAATATGTTCAATAGAAAAACCACAAAATTTTCGAGGTATCACCTTAAAATTTATTTTATTTATACCTTTAAAATGAATCAATAAATTTTTATGTTGAGTCGTCGGGCCTTACTACGTGTGAGGGGGTGTGGCCATGGTGTGGATGTCTCATTATTATTATTATTGAGTACATTTTGAGCAATTTTATTTTAATTTAAACTAGAATTCTCGTTACGCTGATTTATCTTATTAGGGCTTTGTTGTGATTTTTTGCATTTTTCTTCGACAAGATTGCCACCCACTACATTTCCAGTGATGAAAATATCTTTTTTTATATTTTTAAAATCTTGACTTGAGTAAGACTTAAATAAATGACGCCTATTGCGTCGGAGTGGTCTTCTTAGCTTATTATTTATTACATATGATCGATGAGTATATATAAGTTTTACAATGTTTATCAATCTTGACTGCTGCTGTTTTTGCAGCATTGTTTTAAACGTGGATGGGTCTACAACTTGTGGTTTTAGTAAATTTGCACAAACTGGTAATTTACAACGTAATCTGCGACCCATTGATAATTGCGCGGGAGAGTCCAAACCATATCTCAGAGTATTTCTGTAAGTTCAAAGTCACTATTCCCTTTAAGAGCTTTAATTAACAAAGACTTAACTGTTTGCACCGCGCGTTTTCATTTTCCGTTAGCCTGTGGATAGTTCGGTGAGAATGTAATGTGAGTGAATCCCCAATCTCTACTAAACTGTTTGAACTCGCGAGTAATATATTGAGTGTCATTATCACTTATAAGTATTTCAGGTACACCGTGACGTGAAAATATTTCCTTCATACCGCGTGTAACCACTTGTGATGTAATATTTTCTAATTTTTTTACCTCAAGATAACTAGAGTAATAATCAACTAAAATAAGATAATATTTCTTTCTATATTCAAATATATCAGACCCCACCTTAAACCAGGGTAAATCAGGAATTTCCACTGGAATCATGGGTTCTTTAGCTGGTGCGTTTGAGCTATCCCTGCACACCGAACTACGTTTCACATACATTTCTATGTCACGTGACATGCGTGGCCAAAATATAACTTGTCTTGCGCGTCCCCCTTACACTTTCTAACAGGTCACTTTATCCTATGTAATAGTTGCCTGTTAGAGATCGTTTCTAAGCGATAAGGCCGCGATTTGTACTTTTAAATAACCGTTAGTAATAGAGCGTTAACCATCTGAGCTACCACGGCTCTCGGCGGTGAAGAAAAACATCGTGAGGAAACCTGCATGTCTGAGGAATAAGAAAAAAATATTTCGAAGACTTGTGAAGTTCGCCAACACGCATTGGGGCAGCGCGACGGACACTTCCTTGCCCTAAAACCCTCCAGAAATGAGGGGAGGCCTGTGCCCAGCAGTGGGACGTATATAGGCTGCAACTTTACTTTTATTCATTATTTATCAAATGCTAATTAATATTACTCTCGAAGGTTAATCGACATGGAGAACGCACGCCTAGCGTTAATGAACTGTCACTTTCCGGCGAAAAGGAAAAACTGAAGAACCTTACGTATATTGAAGGCTTCAGTGGACTAACAAACGTAAGTAATTTTACTCGTTGCTAGAACTTTGATTACGGGTGCGTCTGAGAGGATACCAACATGTTACCTATTTCTGCTGCCAAATTTTTTTTTTGGATAGGGTGACAAATGAGCACACAGTGACACCTGATGGTAAGTGGTTGCTGTGGCCCATAGACATCTGCATCTATCCTCGATTACGAATCAAAATGCAGACGCATTGTCACCCGTGGAGACTAAGATGGAATGCCTCGTTTCCAGTAAAAAGGATCTGCGGTTCTCAACACTCACCATACGACACACAGCAGCATTAAGTTATTATTTTACGCTGGTATTCTGTGAGAGCGTGGTATTTCCCGGTCGAGCCGACCAATTCGTACTACAATTATACTACTAATACAACTGCAGCATGGCTCTACCACGTATAAATATATTAGTACGTTGTGTACATGGTAGACCCACGCTGCAGCTATATTATAGTTGTAGCACGAATGGGTCTGCTTGACCGGGACAGGATCACACTCTTACAGACTACCAGCGTAAAATAGCAGCGTAATGCTGCTGTGTTTCGTATGGTAAGTGTAGAGAACCGGGGACTCTTTTTATTGGAATCGAGGCATTCAATGTTTGTCTTATGGGGTGACAACGCGTTTGCATTTTGATTCTTAATTGAGGATTAATGTGGATGTCTATGGGCCTTAGTATTCACTTACCATCAGGTGGGTTGCGAGCTCGTTTGTTACCCAATGCTATAAAAAATTATTTTTTAATGTTTAAAGAGAACTGCCCTTTGGCTATATCTGCCGTTTTATTGATTAATAGAGCATAATATGTGCCGACCTCGTGCGGGTAGTAGCTGGAGGGAGAAGACTCGCAAGGCTGCCGCCGAAAGCCAAGGGCTTTGCTCTCCCACATTTTATCGTATCCTTTATATAAATAATTAGAGAATTTTTCAAATAGGAAGTTAATAAGTATAAGGAATTGATTGATGTGAACCTAATACAAGTGGAATAGGTATGATTTAATGTCTTAACCTATTTGTAACCTTTCTTTGTGAATGGGATCCTTCTTAAAATAATTACAAAGGATTACCAACGACTTTCAATAATTGCTCTAGTGAATATTCATTCTTCCAAGAGATACCTAAAAAAAACTAAGTAACTAAACAAACACAACGTATTTAAGGGTCCTTATCAAAAGTTTTACAAACGGCCTATAGCTAAACCCTTAGAAAGAACCTTGGGAAAGATAGATTAGAAATATATATTGAATATATTTGTTTATTCTGGCCAAAACCACTTTTATACATGATAATACAATATAAACATTTTGTTAGCCTGGTCACATATATTTTAATATTTTAACAAACGAACATTTTTTTATAAATAGAGGGGAGCGTTACAGTAAGTTCACGGTTAAGTTTTGCCTCGTATAATATCTAGAGAATAAATTATAATATTAATATTGGACCGGTTTTTTCGATTTACAATCATGTAATTTTATCAAAATCACACAGTTTTATGTTGTATAAAATGAAATAATAAATATTAATGAAAAAAATATACTTTGTTGGAAATTCTTCGCATAAAACAACCGGAATGTTAAAAGTATATTATAATTTATTGATAGTTACTCGAAAGAAGCCAGTATCAGGATAATTGCCAATGTATTTGATAACAATTCCTATACTATTGCTGATGAAAACTTAACTATATTGTCGGTTCTTTTATTTTAAATGCACGCTTTATACTCAAGTTTTTTCTCTTATCATTTCTTCTTTCATAAATCATTGCAATTTTTCAGGTCGGTAAACGTACAGCTTACCAAATCGGAAAGTTTATCCGACATCGTTATGGCTCCCAAGGATTTCAATTGTTATCAAACATCTATCATCAAAATGAGATATCAGTTAGGAGCACGGGAAAGGAGCGAACAAAAATGACGGCTGGGGTCGCATTGGCAGCGGTGTACCCTCCAGAAGTAGCTCAACAGTGGGACGAAGTTTTGGGCAAGGTTTGGCAGCCGGTACCATACTCTGCATTGCCTTTATCGGAAGACTATGTAAGTAGGCTCATATCATTTAACACTATAATTAACATAACATACAACTCTACCGATTAGGAAAGACACTCCACCGTCGATAACACGCCCCTCGACGAGACATCATCAGGAGAAATAAACTTCGGGATAGCAGACTACTATGAGCGTTTAAAGCGGCCAATTACCGTAAAGTCTCTTTTATATATAAATTCATATCATCATCATCATCAAAGGAGTAGGAAGAGTCTACGGACTTCTATTCGGCAGGATAGTGATACACGTGTCTCGCTTCTTTCACATCCGATATGTTCGTCGGTAAATGGAACACTTCATTTCGCCATTCTTACATAACAGAAACTGAAACTTTTTATTCAGTATAAATAAATACTTTTGAAAGCCACTTTTTTTAAATTTACCACTGTTTCAGAGACCTCTGTCCTGGGAAGAACCAGCAATAAACCCAGCGGGACTATTTTTTTAAATAACGGATAGAAGGATATAATTAACAATACATAACAAATTAGAAATAGCTTGGTAGCGATCACCCTTCCCAAGGGTTATAATCATCCATAAATTCCTTAATATTTTTAGAACCCTTTTTATACAAATTTAATTTAATAAAGTTTATGAACCTTGTGCGGGTTAAATTTTGTACATTTTCTGTGATTTTGTTGTAAAAACGTATACATCTCCCCAATAATGAATTACTGGCTCGGTGGAGTCGAGTAACTGGTACTACTAGCTTGTGTCTGTTTCTAGTATTTACGGAACGAATATTACTTATTTTCGTAAAACCTGTACGTGAATTTTTTTAAGTGTATATAGCTTACATTTTCATAAATTTATTGACAGGTCAAAGTTAATATATTAATTTCTTCAATTTTTTGTCTGAGCGACACTTCAGGTTTTGAATCATATATTGCTCTAATGACCCTCTTCTGTAAAACAAATATAATATTAGTATCAGTCGCGTGTCCCCATAGCCAAATACCATACGATTTTATGCTATAGAAGAGCTAAAGGAAACTAAAACTGTATAACTTTACTTTAACACTGGTAAGACTTCTCATCTTTTTTACAGTATATACTGCTGAACTAAGTCTGCTTACGTTCTGTTACTTAAACATGAAATAATTAATCTAAAAGCATCAATTCTTACACCGTAGTATTGAAGTTTCCTGTTTAGTATTTCATGATGAATATAATCGTGGTCTTTGGATAGGTCACAGAATATACCCAAAGAATCCTGTGAATTTTCCAATGCATTGAAGATATATTTAATCAGCTCAACATTAGCATGTCGAACAACCCCTTGTAAAATAGAATTGAAATTATATCGAATTTTTTTTTCGATAAACTTCCAGTAGAGTCTACCTCCTACTTCTACAGCATAAATTTGATTCATCACTCTTTCTTTGTACTTTTCCAAACTACTGAAACATTCCTTGTTTATTTCGTTATTTTATTTTCAGCTGCTTTATTTCACCAACTGCAAAAGGTTCAAGGACTTACTGGAGAATGTCAAAAAAGAATCGATTCATGAAGAGTTTGTTATGTTCAATGACCTGATACCTATATTGAAAACCCAAACAGGGCGTAACTTCACTGAGAACCCGATGCTGTTCCTGACAATAATACAATTGTTTAGAAGTCAGGTATGTAGTTCATAAAAGTTTATATACGATAGTAAGAAAGAAAAACGTTTATTAGAACCTTTAAAAGAGATCACACCTAACTGCATCATATGTATATTTTTCTTGTATAATAGTACCAACAATTGGGATTTGAATTATGATGCAGTGGGATAACCATAGCGCACAGAGGAAATATTACACTGAAAATATCGCGAAGACTTTAGCGCCGTGACAAAAATACTCAAATAGTTCAAACCACATTTTGTAATAAGACCGTGATAATATTTTTTATTGGAAGGTAGTAGTAGCAAAAGCAGTAGTCAGCTCTATAATGGACTTACGACGTGCGTCGTAGTTCATGGGCTGTTATTGTAAAATTAATTATAAGCAATCCGAGTTAGATTACCGCCGACGCTATTGAAATTGTTACTTGGAGTTTTAAGGGCAGATTTACAACGAGTTTGGCGAAAGGATAAAAATGTAGGGAAAAATAATAATGTCCTCCAGACCGAATTCGGGCCACGGCGGCCTGCCTCAACGGAGGCTAGCCATCGGCGCGGGACAGGATTAAAGTGCCCAAGTGTATGCGCAAGAACAGGTGCACTCTCTATTCCCTCACTCTAGTAATCCGATGGGACGGTTAAACTAACACGACCGGGAGAAAATCAGGCGCAGGACCAAAGGCTTTACATGCTTTCCGAGGCACGGGGGTGAGACACCGCCAACTTCCTGACTCCGGGCAGCTACTGAAAATTTCTTGACAGAAAAGTTCAATATTTGATTTTTTGGCCCGACCCGGGATTCGAACCCAGGACCTCATGATCAGCAATCGCACTAACACAACCACTAAACTACAACCGCCTTCTTACCAAAGAGGCGGTTGTAGGTAATACTGCCGGACCAGATAAGGAGATAAGGACTATTTGTCTTAATCTTTACGTTTAGTTAGCTGGTTGACGATCATAGTACACCCTTGACGCTGCTGCCCTTTGCCGTCCTAGATATTTTATGCCCGACGTAAACAAGATTTTACGTTTACGAAGTTTTAACGCCATCAATTGGAAGCCGAAAGATTTTCTGACATATAGCGTAGTTGCCTCCATGGGACGAAATAGAGTGATCAACTCCAGGTCTGTTACGCTACCATCACTCTACAAATAAATTCTCCTAGTTATAATATATCCTATTAAGAATATGTATAGAAATTTGCTAAACATAATTATATTGCTACAATTTTATAACATAAAACAGAAAATTTTTTCTGCTTTATGTTACAAAATTATATTTTAAAACTTGTAAAAGTTAACCATCGAGTATTTGATGAAAATTTACATATTATTTTGTTATGTTAATCATACATTAGCCTTTAAAATATCTATGAACTCATAAAAAACGACGCTACTACTAATGGGTAATGGGCAAAGTTTTTTGTTACATTCCATTATTTTTTATTTTCCGCTAGTACCTCTTTAAATATTCCAAGGTCTTCTATAAGTGACGTGACAACGGCTTTTGCACAGCTACAGGTTTTCATTATTGTAAACAGTTAAAAATCTTGTTAATGTCAAAGACATATTGTAAAACTTAAAACTATAGAAAAAAAAAACACTTAATTGGCGGGACAACTCAACTCGCAGGAAGTAAACTTAATAGCAATTTGGATACCAAAAAAAATTTAGCACTGGAGCAATTTTTCGTCGAATCCTCTGTAGGAAAATGGGAAAGCTGTGATAGCCATTTTAAGAAAAGTATAAGGGTGACAAACGAGCACACAGTTCACCTGACGGTAAGTGGCTGCTCAAAAACCTTTTATTCAGTATCTTTTAAATATTAACTTGACTAATGGCCGGAATCTCCTTTTAAATTGAAATAATACTAGTTTTTACGGATTTTATCGCGTATATTTAACTATAAATACCCGACGTTTCGAGCGCTTTGCAACACCCATGGTCACGGGGGGGACTGAGATGTTCAACGTCCAAATGTCATAGTTAAACTACCATAGATAAAAATTTTAACTTTTGTTCCGATCTACACAGTATGAACTTATGGTATCTTGAAGTCTTGCAGTTGTATGCTTGGGTTGGTATTTAATTTTATTTATTATAGGATCCCAAGCAGATGCTAGCCCCCAGCCATCTTCTCTATTGAAATTAGGATGTTTTTTTGATTTCAATAGCCTCGCGAATCATTCTTGGAAGGAATCGGTGTTCTTTAGCGAGGATTTGTGGTCTATCAAATCTGATGTAGTGACGGGGGCGATCCTGTACGTGTTCACAGACTACAGACTTCCCGGAGCGTCGATCGTCTGCAGTCTTTTTATTTCATTTTAATTATGACTATATTTCACTGCATTTGTTAATGTAAGATAAGGTTCTCAATTTCAATTTCATTTTCATCATAGTAGTAGTTTTTGTTCATAGACATCTACATCTACCTTCGATTAGGAATCAAAATGTAGATGCGTTGTCACCCGTGAGGACTAAGATGGAATGCCTTCTATCCAGTAAGAAGGGTCTCCGATTCTTTACACTCACTATATGAAACACATTAGCGTTAAGCTGCTATTTTACGCCGGTATTATGCGAGAGTGTGGTACTTCCCTGGTCGAGCCGACCCATTCGTGCTACAACTTTATTACTAATTTAGCTGCAGCATAACTCTACTACGTACGATGTTATGATTCAAATGATAGTTAATTTATAAGACTATTTTGACTCAAATTTTTTGACATTGAAGATATTTCAAGTGAGAATGATATTAACAAGGAAGAATAATATTTTTCATTGTTCTATTGAATGATTTTTTCATTCAATATAGATAATTGCATAATACTTATTGAAAGTCATTTTTTATTTATCACTGGTTCGGAAAAAGAACCTCTGTTATGAGAAGAACCAGCAAGAAACCCAGCGGAACTTTTTTTAAATATATTTCACTTTGCAATAAATTTGTATAGTACAATTTTTGAATGATTTTTATATAACCAGCATGGTAGCGATCACCTCATTCCCAGGGATTATTTACATTTATGTATTCTTTGATATTATAAGAACCCTTTTTGCACAATTTTTTTTAATAAAACATTTAAACTTGTACTTGTACATTTTATACAATTTTGTTATGTAAAAGTATATTTATTGTCCCATAAATGAATTACTAATTTAAAAACGCCCGTTGATACGACTGATACGAAGGAACTTTTACCATTAATAACGAGTTTTTGAGTTCTGTTATTTATATATGAAATAATAAGCCTAAGCGCATTATTTTTGACACGATAATGTTGTAATTTCCTGATTAATATCTAATGATGAACACGATCAAAAGCCTTGAAAAAATCACAAAAAATACACCTAAGGAATCTTGTGAACTGTCCTAGGAATTAAAAATCTATTTCATAAGCTTGACACCTGCGTTTCCAGTCGACGGAGCGACCTCTTGTGAAGCCAAATTGATTTTTATGGAATCATTTATTTTTAAATGTTCTAATATTATCTTTTAAAAAATTTGACTGAGAATTGGTAGTACAGAAATAGATCTAAAATTAGTGGAGTCCAATATACTACCAGATTTAAATGCGGTGACAACCTGTGACATAAACTGTACCAAATTTTTTTTTCTTAACATTGTACTTGATATTTTCAGGTCGCCCTCGGCATACATGTACCGCAATGGGCTAAGCCCATTTTAGCTCGACTTGATGAAGCATCGATATTAGCGTATAAGTTGTTCTGTAAGACTGATGAAATGAAAAGAATTGGTGGAGGTAAATATTTTATATCATCATATAAAAATATTTAATATTGATTGTTGTACTACTAACGAGTATATGATAAATAATAACCGATGAAATGTTTCTACGTGGTAGATCCATGCTTCAGTTATATTAGTAGTATAGTTGTAGTACGAATGGGTCGGCTCGACCGGGGAAGGAACACGCTCTCATAGAATACCAGCGTGAAATAGTAGCTTAATGCTGCTGTGTTTCGTATGGTGAATGTAGAGAACCGGAGACCCTTTTTACGAGCATCCCATATAAGTCCTCACGGATGACAATGCATGTGCATTTTGATTCGTAATCGAGGATAGATATAGATGTCTATGGGCCACAGCAACCACTTACCATCAGGTGGACTGTGTGCTCGTTTGTTATCCTATCCTACGAAAAAAAAAAGAAAATGGGGCGATCGCTTCCATTCTGTTTCCAAATTTTTTATACAGTGTATATTGATTAATGAACCACCACAGCTTCGGCTAGAATTTATTAATGTGGTGTTATTAAGATTTAAGATAATCATCAATGACCATTTATTTTATCAATTTTAAAAAATATCTTTATTGATTTTTGATATTTAACCTGACATTTCTATCTATCCGTTCATCAAGTTTCATTACAATCGCTTCTGCCATTCCGAAAATTAGCCTGTAGAGACAAACAGATATACTTCCCAAAAGATTGTCTCATGGAAGGAATTTCCCAACGCCCGTGGGATGATATAGGGAAGTGGATTCTCTTATGCCGCTACTACGCGGGAATCTATATCTATAGAAATTCAAATAAAATAAGTATGTTTCCATTTTAAAGGTCAGGTCTTTAAAATAGCTACGTTTATATCTAAGTCACACTTGTTTAGATCGTTGGTCAAATTCAAAATTTAAATTTACTTTTCACAGGTGTTATGTTAAATGATTTCATCTCAGCTGCAAACGAGATCATAGCTGGCAAGACCGTCACGAAGAGGTTTCGATTATTCTCGGCCCACGACTTCAACGTTCGTGCACTGATGGACGTTACGAATATCACACAGAGCGAGCAAATCGCCCCCGACTATGGATCTCTATTTGCCATTGAGCTGTACAAATCCAAGAGCAGTGGACAATTCACTGTTTTGGTATGTAAACATTTTATTTAACTTTAAATTTACAAGGTGTTAGGACTCTTTTTTCTGTCTAGGAGTCCGTCCGTCCTTCACACACACAACAAACACACTCTTATTTATTTCTGTAGTACTTAGAATTCATTGCTGTGCACCGGTCTGAAGGTTATAGCGATCCAGAATAATTACATACTATTAGTCATTCCATCTTAGTCCTCAGAGAATTCTTTTACCTTGTGGTTTCATATACTTCTTTATTTGAAGCTTGCTTCAATTGTACTTCTACGGAAGTTTTATGTAAAGAAAAAACTTTTGCACTTGACAAGTAAAGGATAAGCAGAGACTACGAAATTCATTTTGGCACGATCTTGACATACTTCACTATCTTCTTTCGCATATATTCAAGCATATATGTGAAATTCAGTATATCGCAAAATTTGGACACCTAGAAAGTTCCTTGCTGACTCGGCCCTATACGTTGTATAATTTTATTTATTGTGTATTTGTACGGTGAAAATAATGGTCATCTTTTTGCTTTAACTAAATTTAATAACCCTACTATTTTCAAAATGCACTAATGAACATTGTCCTAAAAATATGTATCTAAATTTTGAGCAATTCCTAAAAGATTTAGTGGATAGCTTAACTCAATATTATCTTGTTAGCAATGTGCTGTTAAAATTTTGCAGGATTTATATTTGGCATATTTAGATGTGTGAATAATAACACATTCTTTCAAAACATGTTAAGTCCGTCATCACGCACTGATGTGGGTTAATATTATTGGTATGATAATATATTATAGCTTGGTATCGAACTTTCGGCGCAACCATGGCATAATCCCTCTATGAGTCAATCTATATTGGTGGTCTATATTTAGCAGTGAACTTTATAGGGTGTCGTGGATAGATATATATTTATATTGTTAAATTAATACTTATATAGATTCGACACGTGATATTTAAATTAATGTTATGATTTACAAATATATATTATACTTAACATGTGATAGGCAATAATTTTGGACTACTTAATTATTATTTTAAAAGTGTCGATTATTAAAGTTAATTTTTGGTTACCCGCCATAACGCACAGAGAAAGAAACCGACAAATGAAAGCCACATAAAATATTCGAAATTAAATGAAATAAAATGGAACGCAAACTCTTAATTTGTCATACTGATCTACATCATCTCATTCATCTATAAACCTTAACAAGTCTACTGCCGGACCTGACCTGCATCCATCGACTTCCTGCATGTCTTACCAAGTCATCACTACACCTAGTGGGGGTCACCTTACACTTCGCTCAACACAGCGCGCAACCAGTACGAGGCTGCCACTCGGTAAGTTTTCTTCCCCATCCATTGTTAATTGACCTAACCTACGATAATGTCAATAAACCACTGAAACAACGTACTTGACGAGTGTTGACAAATTATTTTTGTTCCAGCCGGTGTATCTGCCAAAAGCTGGTGAGTCGGACGCCCAGTACCTGCACTTCACAGGCTGCGAAAACGACAATTACTGTGACTACAAGCATTTCGCTGATCTCACCAAGGAGTACCTTCTACCAGAGAAGGAGTTTTACAAAATCTGCAACATCAAGACGGAACTGTAGAAGCTCGATTTGGGATTGTCGATAATTTGTTAACAATATGTAAAGAATACCTTGGCAATACGTGAGGGTGGTTTTCGACAGTATCGCCATACAACAATGTTGCCAGATTTTAAAATGTTCTTAAATTTAAATGAATTATAGTAAAAGCATATATTTTAAATAACAATAACATTTTTGTATTTATTAATAATTAGCAATCCAGATTTAGTAACTGGGAATACGCTACATAGGTTTGTTTTTTTTTATATTCTCGTTATAAATGATTGTAAAAGGTGTTTTAAAAGTCCAAATTTAAAAATCAAAATTTTTTGTAAAAAAGTAATTATCAATCCTCGTCTGGACGAAAATAAGTATTTTTTTTCTTTACAAATATTGTTGATAACCTTTTATAAAATATATACGTAATGTTATTATTTCAGTAAGAACGAGAAGTCTGTGATATTTACATATAATTACAAAGGAAAATATATTAGTATAAAACAGTATGTGTATTTTTAAGTTATCCCCGATTTTTAAGTTACGTCTTTCCAAAACAACTTCGCCAGCTAATTCAATTAATAATTTGAATAAAAACATACACTATATAAAAGGTTAAAAATTAATGAAAACGTTTTTAAATTGGAAATTTATATTTATTGCTTGTTGCCAATAAATTGATTTCTTTAAAATAATATTTCCGTACCTTCAAGGGTGCCAAGGCGTTGAAAACAGATGTCCTCTCTAACGTACATGCAAACTCCAGCCAGGGGCACAAAGAAGTGTTCTAATTTGTACCCCGGGTAGGAAAGATACGAAGTGTCCACCAGAGAGTATACCTGTGTCCTGGGTAGAAAGAGCAAGGCCGGCTTCGCAGCTTCCAGATGGTAGTGGACGGCGTTAGGGTTTAAATGAAGTCCCCTGATGTTGCAGATATTCACGGATATCGGGGGCGCTTTTGACTTATTGCCCCGTTTGTCGCGAGCAGGTTTAGTCTCGAGCAGAATTTTGCGCCCGCCCCTCGATCCCCGAGTACCGACTTACCATCAGGTATACTGTGATTGGTTTGTCACCCTTATTATTTATTCGCCTTTTAAATACCTTTACAATTATAAAAAATATATATCTCTAAAGCTACTAATGGGTAAAGATTTTTGTTATATATTATTCTTTTTTTATTTTCCATCATTACCTCTTTAAATATTCCAAGGTTTTCTGTGACTTATCAAGTGATGTGACTTACAATGGTCACAGCCCCAGGTTATTGTTATCGTACATAGTAAAAAAAGCTTTTAAATGTTAAAAGGCCAATTATGTTTTACATAGAATTAATACATTATCCATAATTTAAATTCGCGTACCGGTTTTTTTCATATTTTATCATTTTTAATTATTTAGAATTCGGTCACATTCGTCAAGGTCGTTTTACATCTTGAAAAACGTGGAAAATAGGTATTTTTTATTAATTAAGATGACCTTCAGATTTTGCATAAACTTTTTGATATTTTTTTTAAATTGTTACATAATCTTATTAATAACGTTTGATTTGGTTATTTAATCAGTCTAAGGTAATAGATAGAAACTATGTTTTGATTTTCATAACTGTCGATTGTAGCCTAAACCATGTATATATATATAAACATGCAGAATGTTTATGGATGCAGGTTACTCAGAATCGTATTATGTAGCATTTTTAAGGATGCTATTCAGCAGGGGATTTGTGATGATAAGATATCATATATAAGTGCTAGTGTCAGAATTACATACTTAAGTCCACCTATCCATTACTGCCATTCACAAGTCCACGGCTGACCATAGGCCACCCACCAAAAATGGCAAAAAGCACAGTCACAGTCACCTACATCCATCAACTCCCTGCATCTCCTACCATGTCGTCACTCCATTTAATAGGCGGCCGCCCGATACTTTGCTCACCGCGGTACGCGGCTGCCATTTAAGAACCTTTCTTCCAAATCGGTTATTAGTTATTTGAGCTATATATCCAGACTATTGCCACTTCGGCTTACTGGCCTGTGTTCAGCTGTGGACTTGTGAAAAACTGTAACAATAATCTTGAAGATCTTCGCAACAGTCGTGTATGGGCTAGCGAAATATATTGCGCCCCTCCACTGATTGGAGTGACAGCCGATCGAATGTATACTAAAAATATTTTTTTTGAAATCGTACTTGATATTTTCAGGTTGTCCTCGGCATGGATATGCTTCAGTGGGCTAAGTCTCTTGTAGCACGACTTTCTGAAGCATCGGGATTAGCGTGTAGGTTGCACTATAGGACTGATGAAATGAAAAGGATTGGTGGAGGTAATTATTTTATAAATAAATGTTTTATAATATTTTAGATTATTGTATTACTAAAGAGTATCTGATTGGGACCACCTGAGAAGCACCAGCAAAAATCGGTTCACCTAGAAAAAGTTTCTGAGATAACACCACTGATCTGTATAGATAGTACAAGCACGCTGGACTGGTTATACTATACAAAATGTCTGCCAATTTGAAGCGCCACTATTTACCATCCTGGGAACTATAATTGACATAATATGCCAAAGTCTGTTGTACTCAAAGACATTTAAGTATGTAGTAGTAAAGTTACAGCCTATGTACGTCCCAGTGCTGGGCACAGACCTCCTCTCATTTCTTTTAGGCATCATTTTCGGTTTTAGGGCAAGGAATATCCCGCCGCGCTGCCCCAATGCGTGATGGTAAACTTCAGATGTCTTCGAATTTTTTTTCTTATTTCTTAGACATGCAGGTTTCCTCACGATGTTTACCTTCACCACCGAGCTCGTTGTAAATCAGCACTTAAAATTTCAATTAACAATTTCAATGGTGTCGGCGGGGATCGAACCCAGTTTAGTATGTAGTAGTAAAAACATATATTTAAATCCCTTCGGTTGTCTTATTTAATCTCTCTCTCTCTCTCTCTCTCTCTCTCTCTATCAATCTTATCTATGTATTTAGAACTTTTAAACTAAAAAAACCAAATTTTTTTAATGTGTTTTGTGTATAATTTTAGTTACATACTAAGAATTATTTTTAATAATAATGAGATTGTGCGTAATCGTAAAACTCGTTACCAAAAGGAAAGTATTATAACATTCCACAAGTAAGTGACTTTGAAGCTAATATTAAACAAACATTGTAAAACTATTTGATAATATGGATACTTAAAAATTTGTTACTAATCTTAATATGATAATTACCAACATGTTTGAATTTATATTACTGAGTTTTGATAAACAATAAAAATCAATAGGGTTGTCGATTTCCTTGTCTATAAGAGTTATCGATGTTCTTTCTTACCCGTATTTGTTAACAACCAAAGTAACCGACAGCAAATAATTACCAATTTTTTAATAATTAAAAGGTTTCCAATTGAACCTAGACTAAAATTATGGCTTAAAAACATATATATTGTGAATTTTCGTCCAAAACAAAATGATCATCTTTTTTATAAACATTTCACAGACGCTTGTTTTATTCGACATGAGAAACACACCACTTTGAAAAAGTGCAGTATACTGACAATATTTTCTGGTAGTACCAGAATCAGTAAGTATAATGGTATAGGATTACTATTCCGAATGTTTATTTATTTATTTTCATATCTTTTTCCCCCAAACTCAGGGGCCATAGCCAAGTATAGAAAGGTCGCCTGATGATTTCGAGCCACGTTGGATGTGTCTTAGTAGACTGCGGCCAAAGGAGATTCCTCTCCCTGTACCGCTGTAGACAAGCTGGAGTCGTAAGGGAAGAGGAGTGTTGGTATGGTGATTGGCGATGCGCCACGCGACTATAAGTCCGAAGAGTACAATCTGCCACTTTGTCTTGCGAATGTGGAATATGAGAAAGCCTCTGATTCCATTGAAATTTCAATGTGCTGCAATTTCATTAGCGGTGCGAAATTGGATGTCGGTATATCGAAGTGCTGAAGTATTTGTATAGTAGGACTACGATGGCTATCTGAGTACAGAACCAGAGTACGAAACCTATCCTACCGCAGAGAGGTGTAAGATAGGGGAACGTAATATTCTCGAAACACTTAACCGCTGCATTGGAAGACGTTTTCAAGCTACTGCACTAGAAATGTATTAACGTCAATGGCGTATACATCACTCACCTTTGATTTGCAGACAATATAGTCCTTATGACAAGATCGCTGGAGGACTATGCTCAAAATGGCTGATACATAAATAGAATGGGCATTACGAGTAAAGGCCATCTATCTATAGAGGTCATTCTATTTATTTAGGTATAGGTAGGGTATATAATTTTTATCGATATATTTTGTCACACTGTCTTATCTCTATTATTAGTTCCATGGTCGTTTACTTTTGCTGTCAGCGCCAAAATGGCGCAAATCAAATCGCCTCATCATGTCACGGTGTATAGCCAGTCCAGCGTATTTGTACATATAAAGGTCAGTGGATAACTTCATAAAAAATTCAGTCGAATTGGGAGCCGCCTCTTTTTTTTAAGTCGGTTGAAAATTTATATTGTGAGTGACCCCTAGTGAGTGACATCCCGGCCTTGGGTAGGATTTATTATGTGGCTTTTAATATTCAAATTTGAGATAATTATCTATGACCAAAAAATAACAAATTTAAAAAAAATATTGATATAATCCATGATAACTTGATCATTCCTAGTATTTCTTTCTATCCGTTCGTCAAGTTAATTACGATCTCTTCAGCCATTCCAAAGATTAACACGGATAGATAAACGGATAGACTCCCATACTGGAGTTTATGGAAGAAATATATTATATATTAAGGAATTTATGGATGATAATAACCCCTGGGAAGAGTGATCACTACCAAGCTATCTCTAATTTGTCTTGTGTTGTTAATTGTAAACATGAGTGTATGATATTATTTGGAAAAAAATAGTCCCGCTGGGTTTCTTGCTGGTTCTTCCCAGGACAGAGGTTTTTTGCGAACCAGTGGTAAATGAAAAAATTGACTTTCAATAAGTTTTGTTTATAAACTACATTGAATAAAAATG